CAAACCACTTCTGGATCATCTGCCAAGAACGTATATGAACAGGTCCCAGTCCGAGAAAAGGATGGAAGGATCCTGTTCATATTGACCTGTCGTCAGACAGAACACTAAATAATAAAAGAAAATATTAGACGATGATAATTTTTCTCCTGCTTCGAGAGGACTTTCAGCTGCCATCTTGCGGTCGCTGAAAGCAGTTAGTTTTTAAATACGGCGGCGGCTTGGTTTCCAGTGGGATGCAGCCGTTCTGTTCCGTATATTTAACGACCCTTAATCAACTGCGTTGTTTATACTGATCGCGGTCATTATGTCTCATGAGAAAGCGAGACGTGTCCAATGAAGGGATTTCGTTTTAGGAAATGGCGAATTTGAAGTAATCTCGCCTCTGTTCCTTGTTCTTGAGCAGTGGCGAACTGAGGACGTTGCCGTCGTGGTTGCGTGTGATCTGGATTCAGCTGGCTCCATTAACGTCATGCGCCCCTGCGTCGTGACAGCACGCGTTTCAGACGTGCGAGATGGGTTGCCGCAATTGCAGGCATCGGCGTGTGTTCCATTTCATCAGGAACTCGTCCCTCCCGAGAGCAACTGAAACCCGAAGCCTAAATGCAATCGTGTCATTTGTTTTGCAGCGAACGCTTTCAATCTCGTGTTCTTTGCAGTTTCTCACCCTCACGAATCTCTGCGTTTTTACACATTTTAACAACCAGAGAACGCATGACGAAGTATCTTCTCGGAAAAATGTAAGTAATCTAGCGTAACGCAGGCGAGAATGTGGGGGGGCACCAGTAAATCCGGTGGAGCCACCGACATTGGTTTCGACATTGATATGCAAATATGAGACACGCGGTGATTCCTGTATTGCTCTGCCATCTGGCGTGGAAACAACGGAGCTCCGGCACTGCGAATCGAACAGAGATTTATATCGATTCGAAAGAAGCCGGGACGCTCGAATTTGAACTCCGCTCGGCAAGATTTTGTGTGTTGGGATTTCTAATGATGGACCCTGCGATGAGCCGATTCCCTTCCAAGGGGTCCTACCAAATCTCAAAGAGATTGAAGAGACCAAGCAAATACGGAGTTGCTTATGCGGTCTGAGGCGTGGGCCTTCTGGGACCGTGAGTTCGAATCCCACTCAAGCCATGGATGTTTGTCCTCTGTACAGGTAGAGGCCTTGCGACGGGCCGATCCCTCATCCAAGGAGTCCTACCGAATATCTATAGATCGAGCCGACGAAAAGTTGGGACCCTCAGTGCTCAGGCACTTGAAGAACGGGTCGTTCCCAGCATCCAGTTGCTTATTTTAGGTACGAATCTTGACTTACCCACCTCTGCGCCCTGGCGCCGATTCACTGTCTCCACCCCACAACATGTCGTCCTCGCTTCATAATCCCAGTTTTTAAAAATTTCTTTTTAAATGTTTCACGATAGATCAGTCCAAGGTTTTGAGGAATGTAGGCCCTTAAATTTTCCGAGCTCACTTCAAGAACGTATTTTCTCACGCTTTTATCTCGCTAACTGCATTAATCTGCGTGGCCATACTCGTGTTAGTTTGAAGTCTGTTGGGGCATCAGCGGATTTTCTTCGTTGATGGAACGCACGTGCCGTAGGTCTACTCCTGTTTTCTGCTGTAACGCCTCATTTTCGATGCTGTTTGGTGGCAAAAGAACACGAAGAACTCTACCTGTGTGCGCGCACGAGCGGCGACCATTGTTTGCCCGACCTTCGTGCAACTGAATAGGAGAAGAGGCCGGCCATACCTGCAATTTATTATTATTTAGTGTTCTGTCTGACGACAGGTCCATATGAACAGGATCCGTCCATCCTTTTCTCGGACTGGGACCTGTTCATATACGTTCTTGGCAGATGATCCAGAAGTGGTTTGCCATTGCCTTCTTCTGTTTGTGAATGGAGTAATTGTTGGGATGCCACGGAGGAAAACTCCGTGTTGCCTAGACCACGGCCTTGCCCAACACAAGTTATAAATTCGGGCACCGCCGGGAATCGAACCCGAGACCCCCAGGATTACAAGGCCAGCGTTATAACCGCTAGACCACCGTCGCGTTTTCATATCGGAGTGCAGCGATAAAAAGTAAAGAGAGACTGTGAAGCTCCACTGCGGAACCCGAGCCGACTTGAAAAAAAAAAATGAAGTATCTGAATAAATTATTTGGATGCATACGCAGGTCTTCATATACTTGGGAAACTGGGCTTTCAACAATCTTTGACTTACATGTGGAGGGAACCAAAATTTATTTCTACGCTTTGCCCCTGCTCTTAGCAAAAAGCGCACACGCCAACTCTCCACAAAATCCAGCTCCCAAGTGAAATTGCGTCTGATTGAAGCCCGCACGGCCTTCAGCCGCCGTCAGTATCTGACGCTCAGTGAGCGATATCGGGGCCTCAGGATGCTAGCCACAGTCCACGAGGAGTACTGCGAGGACGATGTGGACTCCGAGTGGGAAGACTTTGACCGTCTGGTGGAGGAGTACCGGGTCAGGCGACGCAACGTCCCGGCGTCTCCTCTGCTCGGCGGCGGGCGTCACTATGGCCACCGCAAGGCGCAGGAGCAAGTCTTCTACCCTTGCCCTCCGCCTCAATCTTCAGAGCTCATCGAGGACATGGACTATGTCCAGACAATGGTAAGTCCTGGGGGGTGTGACTTCGGCTAGAACCCTAGTGAGGTGACCATGCAAATGGAGGTCTTGGGGGTCAGTGAGCACCCCCATTGGTTGACCTTCACTGCTCGAGGAACTCTTTTGCACCTCCGAGGTCGTTAAGATTGATTGATTGAGCGATTGATAAAGTCACGTGAACTGTGGTAATGTGATGAAGGAAACATACATGGACCGTGTGGATAATTCGCGAAGACTCGCCCGTGAACGGGTGGGCGGATGCTGTCTTCTGCTCCAAGCTCGCTGGCTTTAGACACGCCAACACTTGACGAATTCATTAGGGCGTGACGTCACTCAGAAAAAAACCTATTAACTTGATGAAGTGACACTTGTCAATATGTCCATCCTCTGCCGCGTCTTTATGTCTGTAACGACATCGTATCAGGTGCACATGTTATGAAGCGTCGAATGAGAAGTTACGTGGAGACTGCGTCTGGAATCGAACCAGGAACTTCCTGACCAGATGAAATGATCAACGACGATCAGTGAGTGGTTTGAATACGCTCGAATGACTTGAAAGCAAAATGCAGACCCCTGCTGGTGCCAAATTTAGTTGAAATCAGTTGAGTATTTTCGGAGAAGACACATATACGAGTACATACGGGCAGACAGACATATTGCCCGTTGTGTCAGTTTGAAGTGCCTCGAGAAAATAACGCATAAACTTGGCTATACTCGTTGGGTTAGGTTGGCATCATTCCACGTACGTTGCCCAGAATTCGCCTGTCCTGTTACCCGGCACAGGAATGTTCTTTTTCCGTTGTCCATTATAGCGTGCGACCGTGCGTGCCCAACAACCTGCATCCTGGACTCGTCGCCACACTTTCCGCCTGATTAAATCTGCAATTACGATTTGACATTCACGAAGTTGGCAGAGGTTTCTCGCTGGTTTTACTCAGTCCCTCAGAGCAGATGTTGGGATAGTACGTGAAGTAGGCGAGGTTCTGTGCTCAATTGACATCGAATAAACCAAGGCCTGTTAATGTGTGCCAGTTTAATTGCACAGCCATGTACAAGAATCTGCAAAACTGCGTGTGTACACTTTCATTAAACTCGCTTGTTAAAAGACGACTTTCCGCTCTTCGTCTACGAAATGTAATAAGGGTTAATAATAAAGGACTTTGTCTTGTTACGCACACGACATAAGCGAAGAATGTGATGTTTCCTTTGCTATTCAAATTTATAGCTGGCGTAAACATTCCCTGTTGCAAGTTTACAACAAAAACTTGTAGACAGAAAGAGCAGATTACTCTTTAAAACGCAACAGTCGGTTAACAGATAACATTTAAAGGTTCTTTCTTGTTTCTTGACTTTCGTGAGAGGGTTTACGATTACGAAACCCGAGAGCTCTGATATTGTCCATGTGCGTTGTAACACAGACTCTTTACTTGGACGCTCTAAATGGACTTATGTCGAGGCGATTGATTATCAGAATAAACAGCGATTATGCATTTAAACGGCGTTAACCACTTCATCTTCGTAATGGTGAAGTGTGGTGTTTTCTTCGCGGTACGGACCGGATTCTTAAATGTTATTTGGCTTTGTTTAGGGAATTTATCAAGAACCTGGGATTATTCAAACAGAAATTAATATCCTGTTTTTCGTATTAGTGGAAGGCCCTTAATTTCGCGGGATTATGCCGTTAAAAGGATATTAATTGGTCTTGGAACGCTCCCAGGTCCTTAAATTGTTCCCTGAGCTGTATGTTTCTCATGCACTGCTTGTTTTATATCCAAAAGGCAGGCCAACCTGTCCGTTGAACGCACTCGGCGCACCTTCAGTGGACGTGGACATTGGGATCGCGTGTTCGAGTCCCGCCCAAGGCATGGATGTTTGGAGGTCTTTTGGGGGACCTCATACGCGTGTTTAAAAAAGCGAAAGGGTCAACAAAGAATCCTCAGTTGCAAATATTATAGCATATGGAGGAGCCAGCATCTGAATTTTGTCCTTCGTTGGCTTTTCTCTCATATTTATCTTTGCCGTATCAACTTGTTTCGTCAAAGTGTTTGACTTTGATGACGACTACTGTATTGCGCGCTCACTTGTCGAGAGCGGATGTACTGCAGCCGGGGGGGGGGGGGGGGTTCCAGAAAGTCTTCAAGATGAGGAAGTGACCTGATGAATCATCTTGCGCCTGCGAGCAAAAGGGGCATGTAGGATTCTGCCTTTCCGTTCCGTCAAGTGTGAGCAGTACGGAACAACGCGACCACAACTGAATTCCTCGAGGCGACGTAACTTCTCTGGGTCTAGTCTTTCCCCTCGCACTTCGCATCTCAACGCATTCTGCATCTTCTGGACCCATGATGGACTCGACTCGACTACAATTTTAAAGTATATCGCAGTAAAGGGTTGTGGTGTATGGTTGAAACTGGAGTCAGCATGACACTCCAGTTGATGAAGCATAACTTAAAACACAACGTCATGATTCAGTGCTTGGCGTTTTGATTCGCGTTGAGAAAGTTCTCTGTTCGAATCTGCCCGCGTCTTCCGTTTCTCTGATACTTCGCATCGTCACAGACGCCAACTGCCGGATAATATTTTACCACTTCGTCCGGGAATTACCACCTTTGCTACTGACAAAAGAGAGAGGACTTCGAGGCGACGCCCGCGAGCACGAAACTGTCTCGCCACGTGCCTTGAGCCAGTGTTCCTCCAGCTGGCTGTTAAACTCGTCCATCATTCACTTAGTCCACGTCTGTCGGTTGGTTTATCGCGTCATTGACAGTGCAGGCGTACTCATGACTCACAAGGCCGCCGGCCAAATTTGTTCGAAATCCGTTTATGTCGAGCATGTATAGACGGACGTTCATTCCGGCGCCCTTTTTATCTCGTGAAACGTCGCTCCCGGCAGCAGCACCCGAGGACATGACGCCGAGCCCATTTATACAGGGTGTCCAGAAAACACCCGTCTAATTACGAGTAACAAAAATATGGTCCATCTTTTCTGGCTTCCCGACCAATACCCGGTGCACACCTCTTGTCCCATCCATGCGCGCTACATGCCCCGTCCATCTCATTCTTCTCGACGCTTATCGTAAGCTGTAGTGACTTTAGCAATGCCGACACGCGACCTACGAAGGTCGGAACGGAACTTCGGCGTTCCTCTTAGCACGTGACAGAAAACACGGCGTTTGTTAAAATGTGCGCGGCGCACTTTCAGTCAAAAGTAAGTAACGTGGCACTTTAAAGCGATTACATTGGCAGAAAGAGATTTGTATCGGAGATAAACGAACATCAACATCTGTGCTGTGTGAAGAATCGCGAATTGCACGCACTTTGAACTTTCGGACGAAGCTCGAAGATCCCTTGCGCTGGCTGACGGCCGTCGGTATTGAACTTCTCTGTCACATTCCACTCTGCGGTTGGAACTAATGAGACCCT